GTCATGAATGAATAAATAAAATCTTAAAAAAAAAAAAGTTTCCCAGGAGATTCCCATATGAAATCAAGTTTGAGAACCCATCATTGTTTCAAGATGGTGTGAGTGGAAGGGGTGTTGTGGAAACCAAATACAACCTCAGAGTAACTCTGACAGGATTCTTGGTATCATCCATTCTTATACTAAGCAGTTAAAAAAGCAGTGCACATGTGCTCTGTAACTTTTTTGCATATCTTAGGAAACAATTTATGTAAAGTCAAATTTGTTTATGTGGAAGTTCAAGTACCCCATCAAGTAAAGTAGATAAGCCTAGAACCCTGACCTTTTAAAAATCTTCACATGCACACCCACATTCTCTGCACCACTCACAGTGCAAGTTGCTAGTAATGGATGTTGATGTTAATATTATAATTAGCAATACCAACTAACATATACTCAGTGCCTAAGCACTATACACATATTCCTTTTTTAGAGAGAGAGAACATGTGCACACGAGTTGGGTGGGGGCAGCGTGCAGAGGAAGAGGGAGAGAGAGAATTCTGAGCAGGCTCCACACTCAGTGGGGAGCCCGATGCAGGGCTGGGTATCACAACCAAAATCATGAGTTGGATCCTTAACCGACTGAGCCACCCAAGTGTCCCTGTACACATATTTCTAATTTATTCATCCCATAAACACTAAGGTACATACTATTAGCATTTTTCTTACCTATGAATGAAATTTAAAGAGGCTAAGTAACTTGTTCAACATTACACAGCCCATGCCAGTGGTTTGAAATCTTATTTGGCGTGTAATAATGATTTAGTCCACTGAGGCAGTGTCCCACTTTTTAATTAATATTTTAATTATTTTATTTTGGCATTACCAGAACTAACATAATAATAGGCCCGTGACATTTTGTATAAAGCATTTGCCGAATTAGACATTCTTCTGCCCTCTCAGCCTGGTGTGGAAAACAGATACATGATGACTGTAATATGATATGTTAGTGGCTACCTGAAGTGTTGTCAGAAAACAAATCAGAACAATTAATTCTGCTTAGGTAGACAGAATGGTGTTGGGGTAGGTTTACCAACAGAAAAGGGTATTTTTTAGAGGGCTTTAAAGACTGAATAGGAACCTGCCAAGCAGTAAGAAAGAAACATGCCTAATGGGGTGAACAGAAGGAGCAAACATACAGGCATAAAATTGTAAAGAATTCTGAAGAAATGATCAGCTTCCAGTAAGAGTTCTCAAAATTAAGTGTGCACTGGAATCCCTCAGAGGCTCGTTAAAACACACATAGCTGGGCCCAATCCCCAGAGCCTTTGATTCAGTAGGTCTGTGTGGGACCACAGATTTGCATTCTTAACGAGTTCCCAGGTGATGCTTATCCTTTTTTGTCCAAGGACAATACCATGTTGAGAACCCTGGGCTACCTAGAAGGATCACCTGGAAATCCCCGCAGCCTGTGTGTGTGTGTGTGTGTGTGTGTGTGGTGTGTGTGTGTCTGTGTGTGAAACACATGCCAAAGTCAGCAAGATTCGCACCAAAAGAAAATTCTCTGAAGAGATGAGGATTTCTTCTTTTCCTGCAAAGAGTGGTGGTTAAATTTTACTGTTGGTTTTGGGAGCAATTCATACTGAAGCCATCCAGTGGGAGGAAGCAAAGAAACCACAACTCGGGACTGAAACGAGGGAACCTGGGATTTTACTGCATCTGGGCCCCATCAGTGCCCCTATTCACGCGCTAGTAGAAGCCTGGGGCTAGAGGAGACCAAGCACACTAGGTCTTTTGTTGTGCGAGAAAGCGTTTGTGTCCAGTTCACAGGGAGGATGGCATTTTTTACGACTCTTCCTGCAGTTTGGCCCTGTGTCTGCTGACCACAGGTGAGTTCCTGTGTTTATCACCAACGTGATCTGTTGGCTTCTGAGGGCCATGAGCAGGGAGGGGGGATGAGTCAGGAATGCTCTCATATGCAAAGAAAGAATGGAGAAGGTGCTGAAATGCCAGGCTCATTGGGATGGCCTGGGACAGATGGCATCCTTGTGAAATTATTCATTTTCCTCCATTTCTAATTCAATTATCACGCTTTGATTCTCTCACTCTCCAGAATGGAAAAATCTAGGCTGCCTCTGCCATTGCTCCTTGACCCCTTCTATGGGGGTGAGCAACCCTTCCAGTCCTGCCTCTAATATTAGGATCTCCCTCTTCCACCCCCAACCTATGTAGGGCAGATTCCAGTTAGATCTGGAGGTCCTCTTTGTCCAAAATCAGGGAACATGAGGCATCTAGCTCCAATGCCCAATTTTGTCACTAGGTTGGTTCGCCAGCTGATGGCCAACAGCTGTGTATGTTACATTCCTGGCAGGGGCCCTTACATACCCCACTACTACTCCCAAGGTTTGAGAGAAAGGAGTAGGAATCGCCTACCAGAAAAAGGAAACAAAATCATGTTTGGATTCTCTGTTCCATGTTTGTTTTCATTTTGAATACAATTCCCCATTACACTCTTATAATCTTCTAGAAAGTTTCCAGAAGCCTCCTGAGTAGCCCACCTAGTACTGGCCAAAAGTGATGGAAATCTACATTTTCCAGTTTGGTATTTCTATTTTCTTGCTGTCGGACAGGAAAGAGGAGAAAGAGCACGATGGTCTAAAAAGCAATGGTACTTGAGACTGGGCGAGCCTGGTGCCATGGGTTGCACCGGAGGCCTGTGCTCCATTTCTTTTGGGGAACAGGAGCTTTATCATCAGTATTATTGATGAGACTCTGGCTTTCTTTCCAGAGATGAAGTATTTTTGTCATCATGTCTATTATTCTTCACAAGAACCCAATTAGGGAAGATTGCCTAACAGAGGAGGCTGATTAAATTCACAGATTTATTGCAAAACCACTTTGGGAGTTGTGGAAAATGAGTTTCACTGCTGAGCTTCCTTGCTTTAAAGAAAGACAAAAAAAAAAAAAAAGACAAGCTGCAATCCTGTACCTTGGATTATCCACCTATAACAGATCATCAAATACCCATAACCTTGCACACAGTTTATCTTTCTCCAGAGAGGTTCAAGATGCTTCTTCCAGGCTCATAGTACCTCCCCAAGGGGTAGGTGATGGCTTCTGTGCTCATGGAATACAAGGGGGAATTCTGATCCAGAGCAGGATGGAATAGGCAGAGGTCTGCTGCCAGGATATAGGTCAAAGGGAAGATTTTGTTTTGCAAAACATGCAGCCAATTTGTTCAGGCAGTCCTTGTTTGTATTTGGGTCCCAGAAAAGTTGCTGTAAGTAGGAATGATGCAAATGAAATCTGATGTTTCTCCATAGAAATGAGGACAGCTTTGAGGATTCCCAGCCCCAAATGTGATGCCCAAAATATTATAGAAACAACCACAGGCATTATTTTAAAACTTCTGACTTGTTAGTGAGGATAGCCAAGACAAACACCCATACTCCCACCGCAGAAGTCTCAGGTTTTATTTGTTTAAGGCAGCATTTCCCAAATTGTTTTCTGTAGAACATTAACCTCAAAGGATGCCTTGGAAGGAAAGGTTTATGGTGGTAAAATTGGGGCAATGCGGCATGTTAGGTGTTCCTTGATATGCAATCCTTATTAACACAATAAAAATAACAGCTAAAGTCCTACTGAAAGTCTACCTAAGCCAAGCATCTTCTATATTTTATCTCATCGAGTCTTCAAAAAATAATCCCGTAAGGTAGATACTGATTTATCCCATTTTGCACAAAAAGCAAGGGGTGTGGAGCAGTTAAATGGGTTGCCTGGTTAAAAGGTAAAAGGTCCAGCCAGGTTTTAAATCTGTTCTCATTCTAAAATGCATGCTCTTAACCCCTAAGCTTTATCACTTTCTAACTGTGTAGATGCTTTGTCACATTGCTGTTTCTGTATTGTTTTTCATTATTGCTTCTTTACACAATTGGGTCCATCCCTAGCTGTTAGAGTTGGTCATCTTTTGTTGGCATCTTTAATGTTTATGCATGTCTTCACAAAGAGTCAAGTTGGTATCATTTTAGGTGATATTTTCCCCTAACATCAAGCTTTCATGCTCCCATCTCACATGGCTTTTGTATAACTGCTTGGAGCACGCTTTAGTGGATTTTCATCAGTATCTCTGACAGTTTATAGATAAACAAAGATGTAAGGGAGACAGGATGTGTCTGAGTTTATTTACCCTGTCTTTGGCAAGAGAGTCTTTGTCTATAAAACGAAAGTGAGTAAAAAGCAAAAGTAAGATAAAATATGACACCCGGGGTATATATAGGTAGCTCCTGTGTTTGTGGAATTCGGATTTCTTGCACCATTGGCATCTTAATAACTATTAGCCGATCATTTATTTTCTCTGAGAGATGTCAGAGGAGGGTGAGGAGGAGAGACAGAGAATGCTTCTGTCCCATCAGGTTCACCCTACAAAAATTATTCATTAAATTTAGGAACCAGGTTGTCTGCTAATCCCTTTACCAAAGCACGCACTTGCTCTGGAAATGGGCTTTTCAAGGGTGGGGAAGAGAAGAATGTGAATTACTAGTAGCGGCCCTATCCCAGCGGGGGTAGAGTCAAAAGATACTAGAAGTGGTGTCCTCACTTCTCTAGGATGGCACAGGGTACCTAATAGCCATCATGCCTGACCCCAATGACGTCAGCTTCCTTTTACATATGCCTGTGTTCTCCAAGAGCCCACAGGTGAAAGGATTTGCTTTCCCTTTGCCCTCTTGATTGGTCAGAAATAATTCAATGAGCACCAACACTATACTCAGCATGTCCTTTACACACAGGCCTGTGGCCCGATGTTGACTGGATGAGGTTCAAGAACATTTTTCGTTGTTGAAACCGTGCTCCATGCTTTCCATGGATTATCTCCTTCCATACCCCTAACAGCCTTAAAAGAGGGAGCCTATTACTAGTTGTGGTTTACGAAAGAGCAAACTGAAGCTAGGAGAGGAGAAATGGCTTGTTAAAAAGACACAGAGCCAGGAAACTAACTTTATGACCTTGAATTCGAAAGCCTGTACCTTTTACGACTATCAGATGCCAGATAGTGAGTGGGCACTCCTCCACCGCTGTTCTCTGCGTGGACTAGACGAGTTCTGTTTAGGAAGCATAAAGAGAAAAAAAAAATGCTCGATTCATGTCTTAAAAGTGAATGTTATTACTAATCGGGTAAGTGGGACCACTGATGTTGCTGGAACTAAAAAAAAAAAAATCAGGAGATCATTTATTTTAGGGAAAACACTAATTATATGGATATAAATTCTTTCTGGGTAAAAATGCCAAGAACTCCAATGTTGCCTGCAGCCTAAGCAGACCACCTCCAGCTCGGCTGTGATTGAGATAGTAGAATTTGCTCTTTCTTTCTTCAGCTGTACAAAGGGTACTTGAAACCGTTCTGAAACAGTATTTAATTCTCTCACATAACACATGCAGTAAGCCCATTTTTTAAAACTTCAGTGATGACTGGTAATCTCATGAATGTGAAAATGCCAGTGGGGGTGGGGTAGGGGGGGATAATATTCTGCTCTCAAGCACTGGAAGCTTTAAATATTAAGCAGAAGCTCTTCAGCTATAAAAAGAAATGAGCTATCCACTCACAAAAAGACACGGGGGAGCCTTAAATGCATATTGCTAAGGGAAAGACACCCATCTGAAGAGGAGGCTACATATTGTAGGATTCCCATTGTATGATATTATATTCTGGAAAAGGTAAAACTATTGAGACAGTAAAAAGATCCGTGGTCACCTCGTTTGGGGGGGAGAGAAGGATGAATAGGCAAAGCACAGAAGATTCTAGGGCAGGGAAGCTATTGTGTGTGATCCTTCAATGGTGGATACGTGTCATTATACGTTCCTGAAAACCCATAGGTTGTATCATACAAAGAGTAATGTAATGTAAACTGTGGATTTCAGTTAATAACCGTGTATTAATGTAGACTCATCAATTACAACAAATGTACCATACTAGCTCAAGATGTTGATAATGGAAGAATCTGGGGAAGAGGGCAAAGTGAGGGAGTACATGGGAACTCTGTTCTCTGTTCAGTTCTTCTGTAAACCTCAAGCTGTTCCAAAATAAAAATCTCTTACATTTTACATTTTTTTTTCTAAGCAGAAGAGAATCATACTGTTTTTCGGCACCATAGCATCTCTGTGGATGACAGTGCCCTTGCAAGAAAAAATTAAAAACTAAAAAAATTTAAAAACACACCTGATAATCCTCTCAATGCATAATACCAACTCAGTGCTCAGGTTGTGACAACCAAGGAATATATGAAAGGTCAATTTAAACGTCTCAGTGGGTTGGAAAGACAAAGCAGACTTTGTGCCACAATAGAACTCATCCCATGGAACCGTGGAGATGGCAGGAGATAAAACAATACTCTTTATCGCCAGCAGATTAGCCAGCAAGGACATGTTCTTTCTATTTATCCTATAGGCTCCTAAGGACAATGGGCCTTTTGTCCTTACACCTGTTGAAAGGGGAAGGAACCCCTAGCAGAGACCTAGTGGGGTTTATGTGAGGCCATGCAGTTCAGATTTCTTACCTTCGTCTCTGATGGTACATCCCGTTTCATAATATGCCTTCCAGCAAGGGAACTTGGAGACGGAGCCTTCAGCATTCAAAAGGAAAGAAGCAGGTCCAAGTTTTATTTGAGAAGAATGATAGAATATAGAAATCTGTGTAGGAGAGCAGTATAACAAAGTAGTGGCATGTTCTGGCTCTCAGCCAGACACCAAACATGAGTTCTGGGAGGGTCCTGCTCTTTTCCTGTCCTCAGCTCCTAACACCAGGCACAGGGTCAAGGCACAGCAGAGGTGAAGACTGCTGGATGAACAAACCCCCAGGACTTTGCTAAAGAAAAGGAAACAGTAAAATAATCCATCAAGATTGATAGCTGATTTTTCCAGCTGTTTCATGAAAGTTTCCAGATAAACATGTCTGTGGGCACATGTGCATTGATGATTTTTTTTCATTCTAAATTCTTGCTTGTAATGGAATCTGTCAGTTTTACTGCCTTCTTTGGGGGGGAAAACGCTCCAATTGAGTTTGAGGCAACCAAATTCCCCCTTATTCTTGGTGTGTGAAGTTTGATTTTAATACTTCCTTTTGGCTCGAAGGGATGGTCTTGAGGCCCGGGTGCAGCCAGTTAGTATTATTTCCCCATGGCTTCAGTGAAATTCAGAGAAAGATGTATAACTCAAGCTGGACCCATGAGAATCCCACCTGGGATTTTGCTGCCTGATTTGGAAAGAAGTGTTCTTTTTCTGCCAGGGTTAAGAAATGGGTAAAATGTAAGCCTAGGGTTACCAGTGACTTCTGAGCCACCACTTGGGGAAAATATCCTTGAAAATAAAGCCAAAATTGCTTCTCCCTCTGCCTATGTCTCTGCATCTCTCTGTGTCTCTCTCATGAATAAATAAATAAAATCTTTAAAAGAAAGAAAGAAAAAATAATTTAAAAAAATAAATGAAAGAAAGAAATTAAAACAAAATAGAAGAAAACTGAGCTGAAAGAGAAAGAACAAGTCCTGGTAAAAATATCTGAGCAACTTGAACCAACCAAGCCTCAACTCAACCCATTTCCTGGACCCTTCACTGAAATGGGCCACTAAATTCCCAGGATTTTAACCACCTTATAACCAATTAGATAGATATATATATATAGAGAGAGAGAGACAGAGAGAGAAAGAGAGAATGTCCAAATATATGACCACTGTATTTTTTAATGAAAAATTCAGAACCACTCCTATTTTTATGTCCATATCCTTCATATTAAAATGTAAAAGGGTAATTCTAACTGAGATGTGTTCTGTCCAGAGCCTCCTCCACATTTTTCAGGCTCTTTACCCCTCCAGATGGACAAGGATAACCTCTGAAATGAAGAGACCTTGAACTGCTACTTCCAAATGCCAACAGAACGCAGAATTTTCCTTTGTTGAACATCTCACCTCACCACAAACTCTAAATCTTTTTGTGGCTTAAAAGAAGTTGGCACGTGGCACAGTTCTGCTGAACAGATTGAGACATCAGAGAATGGGCCCTTGGCCATGCCTGGCACACGTTCTGGAGACATGGCCCCATGCCATCTTCACCCTCACATTCAATGTGCCATGAACACGAGGGGTGGGCTCAAGAGCTAGGGCAACTTGGACTTGAAACATACCCTTGAAATTCACAGATGGATTTGAAGGCTGAAAAAGAATGCTCTGGAGCTCTTCAGCTGACTCTAGCTATTAGAATAAGAACTCACATCAACTGAGTATACTGGTACCATTTATAGCGCCACATACTTTTCTTGCATTGTCCCTTTGAACACTCATCACAACCCTGTGTGGTAGATCCTATTGTAATCCTCATTTCACAGTTGAAGAAATTTGACCTAGAAAAACGTTGTGAATCTGCCCTGGATTGCTGAGCAGGATTCAGACCCAAGTAGCAGGCAGGCTCTCCATCACAACACAATGTTGCGTGTTAGGAATAAAAACAGCACCTGGATCATGGCTGTAGAGTTGTGGGAATGAATGTTATGACTGGAAGGAGGCTTACACATCATTTAGCCTGATGGAAAAATCTGAGGCTGAGGGAGAGAAGTGATTTCCCCAAAGCCACGCAGCAACTGGACACTGGGATACCTGGGTGGCTCAGTGGTTGAACTTTTGCCTTTGGGTCAGGGCGTGATTCTGTAGTCCTGGGATTGAGTCCCACAAGGGGCTCCCTGCATGGAGCCTGCTTCTCCCTCTGCCTGTGTCTCTGCCGATCTCTCTCTTTCTGTGTGTCTCTCATGAATTAAAAAAAAAGAAAAAGAGAAGAACCAGACACTGAAATCTGGTCTCGATGCCCCAATTCTTTTGCAGTGCATGTCTTGTTATTTTAGGATATGTATACAAGGCAGCACACAATGAGTTATTTAACGCAGACCACCATCTTAGATGCACCAGTTATTCTAAAATATGCGCTCACCAATTGGCAAATGACAACCATCCTGAGACTATCTCCCCCTTTCCTTAGGACTCCTGGGCCTCCCCACAACTAAGACATTAAAGGGTTAATGTCTGTCCCCTGTGGCCAATTTCCATTTTGATTGGTCAACCTCTTCCCTCAGTTAAATACTTTTAGTATGAACCCTTCCGTAAGACAAAAACCAACACACAGGCTCTTCTCTCTCCAGATAATGGGAAATTAATGGGTGGATTGCAGGCTACATCTGTCATTTGGGATAACAATGTTGTCTCAAATATAAGAGGTAGCTGAAAGCTAATCAAGCTAATTGTGTGGAGGACAACAGAGAAAGTTCTGTCCCAGCATTCAGGGACTTTGAGGAGATCTTCTCCTTCCAGGTGTGGGTTAAAATGTCCTCTTCCTACAAAGAGGAAGTTCAGAGCATCTGAACTGTCAGAGGCAAGAAGGGTCTTGCCCCCACCTCTCTTCACCTTTCTTATTTCCTTCTAAAATGGCAGAACCATCCTTCAAATCATGACAGCCCTAAAGACAACAAGTGGAAATACAAGGAAAACAAAGCTTGCCTACTGCAGAGATGGCAGGCCCAGCTCCTTTTGAAGTCAATGGGAGGTAAGCCATTCTTTCTAATTCTTCTCAGCTGCAGAGATGGAGAAACCAATTACTAGTGGAAGGGAAGCCCTGATGTATAGAATGCCTGGCATGAGTCAACCAACCATACACTATTAGCCAATCTGAAAACCATCTAGACAATGGCCAGACTTCATAGGATGATGATTTTCCAGAGGACTGACTCAAGCTATTTAAATATCTGTTCTCCCATTATCCTTATCAGGATTTACATATCACCTTATCAGGATTTACATATCACCAAGTGATCCTGAACTATGAATTGATAGGTATATTCATCAAGAACATTCTTTCGTGGACCAGAAATCTATTGCACTTAAAAAAAAAAAAAACCTGAAGTCATCCATGAGTACATCAAGTTCTTTAGTTTCACCAACTCACAAAACACTTTATAGTTCATCTTCTCTTCCTGTTTCTTTAAGTGCATTCTCTCCTACTCTGTGATTTAAAGAAATTTCCATTCCATGTTATTGTAATTGGTACATAACTGAATTTTTCTCAGACTGGGGTCCCCAGACCAACTGGTTTGCTTTTTCTTGGGGTTCTAGGAATTCTCTATGAGACTTGTAAAGAGATGTAAGCATATGCTGAATTCATGCAGATGAACATTTAAAAACTGGATGTGCCCATATGACTTCCGTATCTGGAGGTTTTGAAATATATTTCAAATTCCCTAACACCCTTCCTTCAGCAGCTAGGGTCTAATTTACCTTCCCTCGAATGCAGCCAGGACTTAGTGACTTGCTTCTAATGAATGATGTGAGACAAAGTGACCTCGAATGACTTTCAGGGCTAGGTGAGAAAAGGTGGTGTGGCTTCCACCTGTCTGTCTTGGGGGCATGAACATAGGAAGTTCTGAGCTTTTGAGGTACTCTATTAATGGAGAGAATTTATAGAGATCCTAGTGGAGCCCCAACTATTCAAGTCCCCTAGCCTAGTTAGTAGGCATGTGAGTGATGAAGACTTTGAGAGGACCCCAGCCACCAACTGACTATGACCACATGAAAGGCCCCAGGCCAGAATTGACTAGCTGAGCCACTCCTGGGTTCCTGGCCCAAAGAAACCAGGAGAAATAGGTGACTATTGCTATTTTAAGTCACTGAGTTTTGTGGTGTGTGTTACAAAGCAATAGGGAGCTACTATGCTGTCCTTATTTGCAGCTGAGTTTATGATTACATTGCAACTGAGTATTTATTATAGACCAATAAGAAGAGAATACAGGCAGACATAATAAATGCATGTCAAGTGAGAGATGAAATTTTGCAGTAGTTGGAATAGAGAACAATGTGACAAGTAAATGGCTCATCACAACCAGCTTGGTGTTTCTGTCAGGCTGAACTCAAAGGAATCTTTGTTCCGTCAATACCCTACTCAAATTGCAAGCAGTTAGTGGGTTTCAGCAAAACAACTTCAAGGACGTTTAACAAATGCAGTCAATTTTAATTGTATTAGTTTTGCTTGGCATTTTTTTTTCTGATTTTCTTGGACGTTGTAATTCCTTATATCTAGTTTTATATGTTGGCATTTAAGTAACATTATAATAGAATACTTAAGTCAGCACCAGAGAACCACAATTATTTTTTTCTTTAAGAGGAATCTTAGGGGGCAGCGTGGGTGGCTCAGCGGTTTAGCACCGCCTTCAGCCCAGGGCATGATCCTGGAAACCCTGGATCGAGTCCCACGTCGGTCGGGCTCCCTGCATGGAGCCTGCTTCTCCCTCTGCCCTGTGTCTCTGCCTCTCTCTCTCTCTCTCTCTCTCTCTCTCACTCTCTCTCTCCTCTGTCTCTCATGAATAAATAAATAAAATCTTAAAAAAAAAAAAAGAGGAATCTTGGGGCACCTGGGTGGTTCAGTAGTTGAGCATCTGCCTTTGGCTCAGGTCGTGATCCCAGGGTCCTGGGATCGAGTCCCCCTATGTCACTGCCTCACTCTCTCTGTCTTTTATGAAGAAAAAAATAAAAATCTTTAAAAAAAATAAGAGGAATCTTAAGTTTGAGAATCACTGAGGGAGAATCTTCAGATAGGGATCTGCATCTACAACACAATATTATGTCATTAGCTGTTAAAGAGGAGTACCTACTGCTCTTCACCGTAGAGCTTTTTTCTTGATTGTCCATATATGTAGCAGTTCGAGTGCAAGTCTTGTGCATCTGTCTTCAAGTCTCCCAGTTATTGAAGCTTTGCATTTGGAACCTCTGTGGATGACAACGATATGTTCAGTCTATGTATTCTTGTATATACAGCCTGACTTTTTCATTAGCAATCACATATTTCTCCTATTCATCAGTTTCAGCCAGATGATGGCCACCTGTTTTGTATTGCCCTTGACCACCCCAAATTAAACTTTTGGGTAGAGCAATTAAATTATATTTTAAATCAGGCCATTATAAATGTAACTTTCAATTCTGGTGAATACTCATTCACTTGTTTTTAGATTATGCTTACACCAAAATACAGGAATTAATTTGTAGCTTATATTAATACATGTAAATGTATATTTTTGTTTTTGTTTTATGCGGGTGACTGGTAACTATAACACATGGCTTTCTGTTCCATGCTATGAAAAATATCTAAAAGTAGCTTGACTTCTTAAACCAAATGACAGATGATTAATTTTTATAATAACATTTATATTATTGATTGTACCCTTGAAGTATTTACACAGTATGGTATTTAACACTTTTTATATATTATTTTGTTTAATCCATAGAATTTACCTAATGGTTTAGGTAAAAGTATCATTTTACAGAGGCTCAGAAGGATCGTCATTTGTCAAAAGATAACATAGCTGGAAATAGAAGAGCTAAGATTTGAACCCAAATAGGTTGGCCTTTAACAATTCAGAATTCTCTTGAATTCTAAACTCTCTTGACTTGTCATACATTCTTGTTTACCATATTTCAGTAAAGCTAAGTTGTTATCGATTGTAAGGTGTTCCATTATCTGTGTGCCAGGAAAACAATGACAGTTAACACCATGATGTAAAGTTTTAATACTAGAAATTTTACTTTATATTGATTTGATAATGTTCTACATAATAAACAGACCCAGTTAGACATAACATTACTGTTACATATATAAAAGGGAAAGCAAAAATAAATAAATGGAAGCAGGTGTTTTTCTAGAGTCTGGCTCTTCTGAATTATTTTGTAGGTGAAAGTCATCAGTGTTTGTATTTTTCTACATTGTCATATTCCATGTCAGTGAGAGGATTGATGAACTAGCATTTCTTAAAAGAATGCTCCATTATTGGACCTGATTTTTCTTCCAAACTGCTATCATCTTTTTTCCAAACTTTGAAATGTATGTCCAGGCAAAACCAATGCCACTCATTTAAATATTAAAAAAATGCACATCTTAGAGTTAATGGAATATGATATTATGTTTCCTACAGACCATGTTAAAAAATCAACCATCCAGAAATTTAAGTATTTTATAATATTTTAGCTATTCTAGGCATCTAGGTCTAATCTCAGACACTAGCCTGCTGTGGATCATCAGTATACATTTACGTTGCTTTACATACATTTCTCCATTTGTTGAATGCTTATGATACATCAAGTTCTGATCTAGAGTCTTTGCATGTGTTAATTCACCAAGGAGCAGCATACTGTCCCATCGTATCAATGAAGAAACTGAGATTTAGAGTTTAAATAATTTTTTCAGTCACATTGCTTCCTAATTGGCAAAGCCAGGATTTGATTTCAATCTCCTGGGCACCAACATCCATTTTGCCAACTATTTTGCTATATTACCATCCACATGAACACAATTATTGGCATTGTTAGAGTTTTCTTTTTTTTTTTTTATGATAGAGAGAGAGAGAGAGGCAGAGACACAGGCAGAGGGAGAAGCAGGCTCCATGCACCAGGAGCCTGACGTGGGATTCGATCCCGGGTCTCGAGGATCATGCCCTGGGCCAAAAGCAGGCGCTAAACTGCCGCGCCACCCAGGGATCCCTTATTGGCATTGTTAGAATTGGTAACGGATATTAATGATCCTTATTATGTGCTATGTAAATTATTTTTACTTCCCTTAGCCTTCCCTCTGCCTGCACATGGGTATATAAAGTACCATGAACAGGGATTTTTATTGACTCCTCTCCTCAAAGCCAGTAACCCTTCAGGGACTGATCTGGATATAATGGGCCAATATTTCTTACAGTCTGGCAATGCATCACTCCTATGGTTGTCTTGCTGTAAAGGTTTCTGGGGGAATTATCTAAAAATGACCATAGAACTGGCCATATCACAGGACTCTTACAAGACATAGATCCAAGCACGCCTATTTACCAGTGATCAGAAAATTTCATCTTGGCAATCATTCTATAGGAAATTAATGTGCTTCCTTCACACGTTTGTGGCCCGGCATATGAAATGAAAGAATATGTGAATTGTTGTATGTTGTGCCTGAAGCTGAAGGTTTTATTATTTATCTGCTGCCCAGGATAGCCATGCCTAGGTAATTATGTTGCTCTTAAAAAGAAGGAAAATAATCTCAGAGGTACCCTGACCTCATTTTATAAACTGGAGGTCAGTGGCACAAATATTTCACAATACTCCTAAACCTTATGCTGTGCAAGTAACTAATCCAAGTATCACTCACAAAATAAAGTGAAGCAGCTCTTTGAAAGATTTTTTTTTTATTTATTTATGATAGTCACAGAGAGAGAGAGGCAGAGATACAGGCAGAGTGAGAAGCAGGCTCCATGCACCAGGAGCCCGACGTGGGATTCGATCCCGGGTCTCCAGGATCACACCCTGGGCCAAAGGCAGGCACTAAACCACTGCGCCATCCAGGGATCCCTGAAGCAGCTCTTTGAACATCAGGTCATGGATTTGGGGAACCTTCACTTAAAGAGTTCTGCCACAGTACCTTGAGATAGTGCCTTTTAACCAATCTGTCCAGGTGTTTGGCAACAAGAGGATCCCTGTAATTTCTAGAACTCGAGGGCCATGCTTTGCTAGAGAAAAGTCAGTTTCCTCTGGAAAGGTTTGTGAGACACTATGAACTCATGCACTGGGTGAGATGTTCATGTGCTTCCTCCCATTGTCTCAGGTCTCACATCTGCTGCCACCATCTTCCAGATACCTAAAGGTGAAATGATCCTTGACTTTCCCAGATGACTCTTACTTGGTCCCTCTGCAATTTAACCTTGAGTCCTACTTCTCCTACCTCCTCAATAACTCCCTAATCTGCCCACTTCTTTCCTTTCCAGTCACCGCCTTGCCCCCCCGGTCAGCTGCCCTACCCTCAGCTTGATTTCACCGATCCTGGGGTACCTGTGTGGTTCAGGGGTTGAGCATTTCCTTTGGTTCAGGTCATGATCCTGGGGTCCTGGTATTGAGTCCCTTATCAACTCCCCACAGGGAGCCTGCTTCTCCTTCTTCCTATGTCTCTGCCTCTCTGTGTGTCTCTTATGAATAAACTCTTTTTAAAAAAAAGTCTCACAGATCCTGTCTGCCTTCAGTCCTGCTATTTATGAAAATACAAAGTCTGATCTCTTCACTCCCTGGCTTAAACTCTTCGATGGCTTCCTGTGGCTCTTGAAATAAGGCCCCTAGTTTGTCATAGAGGTTACAAGGCCCTTCATGATGAGGACCCCTGGATTTCCCAAGCCCCTTCTCTCTCCTTCCCCCCAGCCAATGCCCATTTCTCTGCTTCAGTCAAATGGAACAACTTTCAACAACTCATTTGCCCCCCTGCAGCCCTTACACTGTCTATAATATCCTGCCTTTCAAGTCCAAAGTTAGATTTTATATCCTTTTAGGGGGACTTCTTCCACACACAGCCTGGTGCCCCCCCTGCACTTTGCTCTTCATGATTATTCTCTCACTTAGCTAATTCTATAGTTACCCCTTATATTTTTCACCAACTATGAATTCCTTGAGACAGAAACAGTTTCTTGTTCACTGTTCTACATCAGGGCAGTGGTTTCCATACTGTGTATAGATAGCCCTGGTGACAATATGAAGCAGTATACAGATGCTCTTTTTAAGATTTTATTTATTTAAATAAAAAGAGAGAGAGAGTACAAATTGGAAGAGGGCAGAGAGAAAGGGAGAAGCATACTCCCTGCTGAGCAGGGAGCTTGATGTGGGGCTTGATCCCATGACACTGGGATCATGACCTGAGCTGAAGGCAGACACTTAACGGACTGAGCCACCCAGGCGCCCCTCGATGCTCTTTTTAAAACTTAAAAATTGTTCCACATTTTTAATGTTTATCTTCTGTTTATGACAAATGGTGTTTGTTTTCTTTATTATGGAAGTTGGATGCACAAAGTGGATTAACTATGATCCTTGTTCCATGACACAGTCACCACTAGCCTTGAATGGACCCACTTATATTTATTTTGCCGTGTTATATCATAACAAGCATCTCCAAATTCACTATGCAAGGCAAAAGCTAAGATCTTCATGGCAGCTGACATTTACCCAAATGGTACACTCATTCTCTTCTACATCCTTCCACCTGACCCTGCATGCTATCATCACCATTCTCTTGTTTTCTGTTTGAATAGTTTAATTGCCTCTGTATTTCTAAACTTATTTTTCTTACACTGGTTGTTTTTAACTTTATAAAAAGGATACTATGTGTACACAATATTTGGGGACTTTTTTTCACTTAATATCATGTTGCTAAGAGCCATGATTTTTGTTGTATCGCTATATGTCACTGCAGTGCATTTGGTTTGCCTGCTATATTATGTTCCTCTGATGAATCTACCACAGTTTAAGCATCCATTTGCCCACTATTGATAGGCATTTGGTTGTCTCCTCATGTTTGCCATTGTGCACAACCATGCCCAGAGTATTTGAGTGCATGTCACCTATTGGACATTACAAGCATTTCCCTGGAGTAGAACTTCTGGACCACAGAGTATGTGAATCTTTAATTCTAGGAGATAATACCAAACTAGGAAATCAATGAGTGGGCACTGATTTGTTACTTCTAACAGGGTCTATGAAATCCTATGGACTCAAATCCTCTCTGGTATTTAGTATTGTCAGACTTTTCCATTTTGGTCACTCAAATACCAGTAAAATGCTCTCTTGTGTAATCTTGATTTGCATTTCCCTGATTATTAGTAATATTGAACATTTCTTCGTGCATCTGTTGTACATATGTGTTTTCTCTGAAATGCTTATTCTTGTCTTTTGCCCATTTTTCAGTTGGATTGTTTGTGTTGTTC